AGAAGTTTTGGCTGCCCCATCCCTGGAAGTGTTCAAGGCCAGGCTGGATGAGGCTTTGGGCAACCTGGTGTAGTGGACGGAGGGTTTCCCTGCCCATGGCAGGGGGGTTGGAACTAGATGATCTTTAAGATCCCTTCCAACCCTAACCATTCTATGATTCTATGACTCTATAAATAAAATGCATAAACAATATTGGTCATAGGTCCAGATATATGAGATTGCACTAGATGGAGACTGGTGCTGCCTGAGGTATTGGTTTACATTCCTGGGGTCAGAAACAAGTTGTCACTCTGCAATTAAGGCATTTAAATCCATATCCAAGCTATAGTGGAGGTATAGCTTGTGGCTTCCTGAGCTCATGAATATTCCCTGCCTAGCCAGAATACTGCAATTTCTGCATGGCTAGGATACCCATTTTCTTTTCCTTGGGAAAAGCCTGGGAAGTGATGGTGATAGCTCTGTAGTCTGGGCCTCGTGAATGTACTCAGGGAATGCTTGTGTGCCTGAGGACTTGGAAGTGTCCAGGAGTCCTGTAGTCATATCCTGTTCTTCATGTTGGCTCAGATACTTTATGCAAGCTGTGGTTATAGTAGCTGAATTTTCAGCTCTTTTAGGTTTCGGGGAGGGTGGTGGTGGGGGGTGCGTAGGTGGATTTTATTGTTTTGTTAATACTTGTTGTTTTCTCTTATTTGCCTACTGAATGTTAAGTATACTTGCTGCAGTGTTTCTAGCCTTCTTGCTGGAGTACTTGAGTATTTCTAGCTTTCCTTTCAGTCAAGTGAGTTTCAGTAGTAAATTAATACAGAATCGTCATATTTTCTGTAGTTGCACAAAACGTAGAAGTCTCATTGCACAGAACCCTCCTGTAGCATTTATTTTTTATTTTACGAATGTAGTCAAATTTTTAAGATGAATTTATGAATCTTTAATCCCCATAAGCAGTTTTTTCAGGTAGTCTGACTTTTGTCATGTTAGCACATGCATTATTGATGTACGTATGGGTCTTTGCAGGACTTATTATCTCTTACATACCGTACCTTCAATAATGAGCAGTTCTTTGTAGTTTTTACTTATTTATGAGTTTGTAATGAAACAAATGTTTTTGACCTAAAGCCATTTTGCCTGTTACCTGGCAGTAATCATGGCAGTTGTTACATCAGTGGTACCAAAATTACTAATCCAATTTATTTAAAGGTCTTAGGGAAGAGCTAATATTTTCAGGTAAATGAGATCTCATGTGATGGGGAATCTGCCAGCAATTTTAGAAAGATTGGCTGGCCAAGAACGGAGTGTCCTTTGGTTCGTTAACTGGGCAGATATCTGGGGCAAACAATAGGCACTGCCCCTTGCAGCAATCTTGTCTGCAGAGCTGTCCAGTCTTCTCATCCACTGCAGTCCCAAAAGAGAGTTTTCAACAGTTTATGGGAATGCAGAGATGTTAGCGTTTAGCACAATACTGTATTTTATTGTGGGCTGCTGTCAGTTCTGAGTAAAAATGCACCACTAGCCTAAAATGTTTAGAGACGTGTGCTAGCAGACTTCTCTAAACAGCCGCGCTAATATTGAATTTAAAGTTTTCAACCACTAGCTGCTATTTTTTACAAAGAAGTGAACAATGAATAAACTGTGTTGCTGGAAACTGGAATCAATCACTGTTGCTAGGATGAAGGCAGATTGACCAGATGGCTCATGAGAGATCTTTTTTAACCTAAATGAGCTTACTATTTAAACTTAGATCTGTAGCCTACCCTCGCAGCATTAGATACTTCTATAGTAAGTCAGAGTTGTATAGCTTATAGGGTGTGGGGTTTTTGGCACAAATCCTGACACTGAAGTTTCATTAAAAACTATTCTCGAAAGAGTGACGAAAACACACATAATGTTTTATAAACTAGGCTGTAGATCCATAGTTAGCAAACATCAGTAAAGCTAGAGGCTAGCTGTACATATAAGGCTAAGAAACTGTCTGAAGGATCAAAATGAGAGAGGTTAAAATTAATTTTACATAGCTTAGGAATTTTTAAGTTTTTTCTACTTCCAGGCAATCAAACATCAAATATTTATATCTGGAGAATATAAACTTTTTCTTTTAGTAAATTGGTATGATTATCAGTGTTAGCAAGCCTTACGTTGTCACCACTTGTACAGGAATCGGTAAGCCCTTCTAAAATGTAGCGGGATGGACTAAACCACTCACGTATATAATCTTTAGCAAATGACTACAGAAAAAAATAGACAACCTTTTTTAAGCTTGTATACTTTGTACTTTTTACATTGAAAAATATATATTATTAATGTAAACATTATGTTTACATTAAATCTGTATTACAGATGGATTTGCATTAAATCATAGATCCTTCTTCCACTGGTATATTACATATTAAAGTTAATTTGTGAGTTCAGTGACTTTTAAGGCATATTTTTAGCACTTTCCTGAAGAGCGACTTGTTTTTTGGAGAGTAGTCATGTTATAAAATGAACTGCAGGAACTTTCCTTTTAGAGATGAGACTGATAAATTGCAAAACATTTCCTCAAAATTTCTGAATATTTGATTGTTTCCAGAACATATGTTTATAATTGTCATCTCAAGCATCACTTTTGTTGTAAACAGAGAGCCCAATATTCCATTGTGGAAGCTGGAAAAAATTTCACTTGATTTCAGTGACTTCAATGAGATCAATGCCAGAAGTTTTATGTCCTCTCAAGGGGATCTAACAGAATTTGACTATTACAACAGGGAGTTTCATTTTATATATTGTTTTAAATAAAATTATTTTAAATATTGTTGCCAACTGCTGGGTTGCATATCTGACCACCTTCTGACTTGAACTGTTTCTGTGTAATTAGTTTTTCTTTTTCCATATATGCTATAGTAGTAATGGGTATTTTGTCGTGGTTTTTGGAAGGGGAACTTAAACTTAACAAGAGCAGTAACCTCTAGCTTATCATAAATGTAACATGTTTTCCATTGAAGCTTTCTGTGGGTTTAGAAGCCCATTTCCAGAGTTTAGTTTTGTTATTTTACTTTAGCTGCTTATAATGGCAGCAGCACTGACTTTGAAGTCATGTTAGTAAAACTTCACTTTATTGTTTCCAAAAAAACAATATCAAACATGTCTTTCGCTGTCATTCATCTGAAATATTCTTTCATCTTTGCAAATCACTGACTTGTTTCATGTATTTTCTTAATATTGAATTTGTGGCAAATGTGTATTTGTTGTCTTTTGTGCTAAGATGCAATTACATCAAGATGTTTTCTCTGTGATTTGTGAAGATGGGCACATAACAATTCTGCAGTCTCAGTGAGACTATTTTGCTGTCCAGCCTAACATGAATTTAAATTTTCCGGCAAACGAAACTAGGAAGCACATACTCTTTTATAAATATGTTAGGCGAAAGGATGCAAAGAATCTGACTGACTTTATTTAAGCACCTGTGTAACATTCCTGTTTTCTTGGTGTGACTAACATTTACCTGCAGTACAGGCCTTCAGTCTGAGCCTTAGCATTGGCAGTGCTACATAAGCATGTATTAGAGCTCGTGGCTATTACATTCCACATAATCAGAGTTAGCTCATAGTCACAGTTGGCAAATCCTAGAAGTGCTGCAGGGGTAGTTTGAAGGATGAGTTTGTCAAGCAATGTTTTATGTTTCAGATAAAAGAAAATCCAAGAATCAAAAAGTATCAGAAAGTGGAAGAGGAAAACGATACTCTTACAAGTTACCTCAGGAGTACAATATAGAAACTGTTGTGGTGGCAGATCCAGCTATGGTTTCGTATCATGGAACAGATGCTGCCAGAAGATTTATTCTAACCATCTTAAACATGGTAGGTGGTTTAAATTTAATTTTGGCGTTTTGCCAACAATGCATGCACTGCAGACTGATTTCGTTGCTCTTTTTAGTTATTCTGACTGACCACCTGTAAGGGACAGTTAGTACGTGACCATCAGCAGGCTGTCAAGACTTACTCTGTATGTTTTGCAGCATAAAACTATGATGCTGCAGATTTGTCTGTACTGTCTGGTCTTATATCTTCAGGAGTGAAGCCAGAATGTGAGAGCTGAACAAGATGATTTTTTGGTTAGAAGCCCATGATGCTGTTGGGAAGACTGGGCTGTTGGGTGATTTCTTATGATCTATGCTTGTTGAGAAAAGATGGCATTGTTGTTGAGAAGGATTCTGTGATCATTAGTGGGTGAAAAGAAACAAAGGATAATACACTCGGACAATTACATACCATCCCAACTATCTGGAGCTGCAATGCACTCATTTGGCGCATAAAGCGATGAAGACTAGCATCTGTACTGTACAAGGAAAGATTATTCTAAAGAAGAAGCATAAGCTGAAAAATAAATAAAATCTTAACTGTTCTGAATGATAGGAAGAGTTTCTGCCGTGACCTGGCTCAGACCACTCAGGCCACGATCCTGGGTTTAATTGAATAGAAATTTTCTTGCGAACAGTATTATATGCATGTGTAAGTATTTGGAGAAACAGGCCACAGTTTATAAAGTGATCATGGCCATTGTGGGTAAAAGGTCTTTTTTGTGTTCTGGGAATGAATACTACCTAAACTCTGCTTTCCCTTCACATTAGCTTAATGTTCTGTTTAAATTACAGAAAGTCAAAGCAGTCACAGTAGAATATGAGAATTTTTTACGTTCTTTGAAGTTCTGTTATTTTGAGTCTACAGTGCGTTGTGTGCAGTACAAACACGTATTTTTATTTACTGTTTTTTATCTTAGGTTTTTAACCTTTTCCAGCACAAGAGCCTTGGACTACAAGTGAATCTTCGGGTGACTAAGCTTGTCCTACTTCATGAGACTCCAGTAAGTGTATATTATCTTTGTCTTAGCCTGTAAAGGGTGATGTTACTTAGCTTATTGCCCCAAGAAGGCTTGCAGTATTCACCCACTTTAAAGGCTGACAAATTTTCTCAGCTTTTGTGCATTATTTAGTTATTTACACTGCTAGGCAGCCCCGGTAAAGGTGAAGTGTCTTCTGCTTTCTGTGCTGCACGTATTGATATTTTTCTGTGCTTGCAGTTGGAAATCAATCAAGCAAAGTTTCCTTCTTGAAATCAGTTAGTTCTTAACAAAATCTGCTTGTGCTCTGCTTTTCATGCATTTGAATAGCTCAATGCAAAAATCATCTCCTGGAAACCCAGTGGACAGTAGAAGGATACCTGGTGTTCTTTGTCAACCAGTCCCTAGACAAACAAAAGATGCCATATAGCACTGTTCTTTCATTGCACCTCTCAGGCATCATCTAAAATTCTGTTGGTCTTTCTTTCTGAAGAAAGACAAGTCAGCTGTTACCTTCATTGAGCCTTTCTATTAACCTATGGTTAGTATATCATTTTTCAGGATAGTGTCAACTCTATTTCTTGTTTTTTCTACAAAATATTGTGAAAATATTTTCATATTTTAGTTAGTTCCTAAGAAAAAGGAATTCCCTTATCCACACTCTTAATTTTAAAATATTATATTTTTCCAGGGAATAAGAAAGTGTTTCTTCAGTGTCCTCTCAGCAGGTGGATCTTCACATCATTAATCTTTTCTTCTCTATTGATAGTGAAAAATCAGCAAATAAATGAGACAAGAGTTCTGGTGAACAGATCCACCGTACATCTCTCAGTGCACTGTTTTCACACATATCTTTAACATGGAAAAAACTTTGCTCCTGAAGTCCAAGTCATTCTGCTGTCAATATATTAGGGCATAAAAAAGACAATATTTTTGCTAACTGAGTCAAAATGTGTTCTTAGTTGTATTTAAAGAATCATAATTTTGATAAAATGAATTTTTTTCTTATTTCCAGGCAGATATGTATATTGGACATCATGGGGAAAAAATGCTGGAAAGCTTTTGTAGATGGCAACATGAAGAATTTGGCAAGAAGAATGATATACACTTAGAAATGTCAACAAGCTGGGGAGAAGACATGTCTTCAGTTGATGCAGCCATACTGATCACAAGGTAAAATACTGAAAGATGAGCATTAAAAAATAAGCAGTGGCCTAATATGAACATAGATCAAAGGAACTGACAAACAACACAGGATTTAGTTTTGCAAAGAAATAGAGTGCAACTTGAGGCTTCTTTCCAGAACTCAAAGAAGGTGGTAAAGATGGTTCAGAACATAGTTCCCAGATGGTAAACATCTGAAATGACAAATAATTCACTCTGTTGATTCTTCTTTGGCGGTATAGCTAAGGCCATTTGCATGTCTCTCTCTTTTGGCCGTGGTTTACAAGTCGTGTTTGAAACACAAAAGCATATTTAGACCATTCAGAGCTGGATCAACATGGCATTAGGTGCATTACCAAGTTATGCTTCCTTTAATGGATCTAGAACTTGTCTGTTTCATTGTGTACTGAAGATACATCATGTACACAGTCTGTGTTCTGCAGCCACAGAGGTGTCATTCCAGATGTGCAGTTCCTTACAACTGTTAAGTATCAAGTTTTTCACACATTCAGAAGGAAATATGCCTGCAGCTCACCTCTTTCCTCCCAAGCAGGTGCTGTCATGGTTTAGGCTGTCAGTGGTGCAGTGGTGCACAGGGGATGCATCTTGATGTTCAGGCAGTATACAGCCATTATCAAAAGAAAAGGACAGAATGGTGGTTCAGCTGGTCTGGGGTTGAGTTTAGTGCCATTTTTGAGGTGGACCTTGGACTGGATGACCTTCGGAGTTTGCTTCCAAAGAAAATTCCTATCATTGGATATATTGGAATACCATTGTGCTGTCCCATGCTTGTTGATGAAATGGTATCCTAAAACCGTGTGCAATCTTCAAACTTACCTTTTGCTTTTATACCATTTATTCAGGGCAGTCTCACTAGGAGCTGTATAAATTTTTTTAAAATTGGTTTACATTCTGATTACTCCAGTATCTAGAAGGTATTTCAGTTTTCTGAAGCAGAAAAATGCTTTCCTAAATTTCCCTGTTTTGGAGAGCCAGCCACATACTGGAAGCAGGAACTGATGAAGTCCAAATTGCCTGTGGTGACAGCTTTGTTGCTACTTTTGCTGTTTAATCCCTTACTTTTTCTTAGAAAAGTCCACACCCATCTCTTCTTACCTTGTGCCATCCTCCTCTATTTGTTATGTTTGTCTGTTTTATGGATTGTTGGGACTTTGAGGGGATAGATTAGTTTTTGTTACACATCTATACATTAGCTAAGTAGTAGTCATTCACGCAGGCTCCTCTGAAGTACTGTGGAAGACATGAGAAATAATGTTCTCTGTACGACATTTCCATTAGCTCATCAGAAAACATACTTGGGATGACAGATTGGAAAGAAATTTCTCAGATTAAGACCCACGACTGATTTTAATGGCAGTGAGTGTGTTGGTGGGGAAGAGTGTAGATGGAGAAGGAAAGATGAGTAGCAGGAAAGAGGGAA